ATAAATCATAGAGATTGTATTCAAGTCAATTTATTGGCACCCAGTTCCCATTGATATCAGTGGAAAGGTTTGGTCATAATTTACTTGTATCCCGCTGATTTTAGTGAATATCAGTTGTATCTAATTTTCTGTCTAAATCAATATGTGGGTGTGTGTGTGTGTGTGTGTGTGTGTATGTATGCATGTGTGTGTATGTATGTATGCATGTATGTATTTTGTGTCACAACCCCTGGTATGCCCAAATATGGGAGGAAGTATACTGCTTCCTTTTTCTGTCTACTCATCACAAGAGACCATCCAGACAGAAAGCCATTATTTTTACTGTTGCCTTTGTTACATTTGTGTTGCATTTGTGCTTTATTTATTTATCAGCACAAATGCAACACGCACGCACACACACACACACACACACAGCATTTGTGCTGATAAATAAATAAAGCATATATATATATATATTCTTGTCAAAGTAGAACATGAAGCAAAAATAACATTAAAGTGGGAAAGAAACAGTTAAATGAAGCAAATAAATAGCCATTGTCTTCCCTAGCATAGGTAGTTCAGCTTTCAGTTTCTTGTTTGGTCCTGACAGTTGCTGAAATTCTTTCCTTTGGCCTTCATCCAAGAATTACCAAGAAAGGTCCTCTGTCATGCTACTTATATTCAGGACAGTAGCCTGGTAGAGATTCAAAGGGATGGTAGAGCAGGATAAAGTTTGGTTTGATCTCCAGCCACTAAATGAAAATTGGTTCTCTGTGTACCTCTTCCTAGCTCATTCTTCTCTTTTAGCCTTCGGACTTTTTGAAAAAGATCTTCCTCCAAATCCCAGTCATAACAACATGACTGCAGGAAAATTTTGCAGGCAGTATTTTCTGGAAGTAGTGACTGTGGCAAATTTTCATAGAATGTTTTCTTCAGAATTACAGTCAATCTTATAGCAGGGATAGACCAGTAAGAACACAAGATGAAATAATAGACTAATTATATGGGCTTCCTCCAGTATATAACATGAGATAATTACCTTAAGGCATAGACTTCACTTTGCAGCAGCTTCCTCTGAACATATTTACCCGCTAACCTGAGGCGTTCTCTTCTTAAGTAAAAACTTTAAAGAGTGCAGAACCTGTTTCACCCTGCTAGGATTCAGTGTTGACCCAGATGTTATATTTGAAAGGTAGCTTTTATTACATACAATCAGGGCTGGACTTCTAAGGGAGAACTCGTAACTAATGTTATGGCTGGTTTGGAGAACCAAATCCCACCCCTAGCTGGCCCCTCCCACTCCAACCCGCTCCTCCCAGGAGTCTCCACATGACCTGTTTTGGATGCGAGGTAAGTGCAGGGCCTGTGCGGAGGCTCGGGGAAGGGGAAATTGGGCCTCCTGGAAGTTCTGGAAGGCCAGAAACGGAGCCCGGGGGAGGCAGTTTTTATCCTTCCAGAGGCTTGAGGAAAGCCTCCAGAGCCTGGAGAAGGCAAAAACATGGTGCAGGAGGCTGACTAGATCACATACACACATGGCTACGCCTACCCAGCAACTGGGCAGAGAACCTGTTCCTGAAATTTTTGAAGCCCACAGCTGCATAGAATGACATAATATTTTGTAATTTGTCATAAGATTTGCTGTTGTTAATAGGATCTTAATTTAAGAACTTTCAGTATTATTTCCTATCAAGCACAGTTGATATTTACAAAGTGGCTTGCATTTTTTTTAGGTTACAAGACCTGCAGAATATATATATATATATATATATATATATATATATATATATA